CTTCGAGGGAAAAGTTCTATTAGATATCGATTTAACACAACAAGTATAAATCTTTTCATGATGTTTAACACCTATATTTTTAAATTAAGTTACATATCTTATAATAGATCTTATGAAAATTCAATACATGCATAATTCGTATTTTTTCAGAATGTAATGGAAAATGAAGCGCAAGTAGCCTGCGATGTACGAAATTTGATTGTAAGTTACCGTGACAACAATTTCACTGGACGTGCAGTCGCACGAATCTTTCATGGGATACAAAGTCCAAATTATCCTGCTTATATATGGAATAAATGCCGTTTCTGGAGGGCTCATATTTCATTTGATTTTAATGCTTTATGTCAAATTGCGACAAGAGAAATTTTAGCTTTACGTTAGGATGATTATTTCCAGAATCTACTATAGATTCAAGAAACTTTTAATGACTTTTTGAACATTACTGTACTGTAACTGCTATTCTTATAACGTTAAAAGTTACAAACATCTTATATTGTTATCTCTATAGTCCCTGAATGTATGAGGTTTGAGTTATGTATTTATAAGTTCTCCTGACATTGAGAATTTTATTTTAAAAAACATAAAAGATTAAAGATTATATAACGCTTTATTGTTTCCATAACAAATGACAAAATTCATATAGATCATAGTATACAAAATATTTACTCGAACGTGCCTTAAAAAGAGTAACTTATTTTTTTTTATATTTATAGAATAAACTTTAAATACTTTTTTAAAGAAAAGGTAATGCGATAATTATTTCCTTCCATCTTTGTTGTAATTTTAACGTGTAACAATAATAATTATAAATTTATATGGGTACATTATTAGTTTCAGTATATACTATACATATCTCCAATATAAAACTTTGTTCCTGCACCGTTGTTATATTTAATTTTTTGTATTTTTGTTAGTAAATTCAATTAATTTACGATAATAAAATCTAAGTGAAAAGAAATCGCAAATAAATTTGACACCTTTTTAACATAAAAATATAATACGATATGTTCTTGTCAAGGCGGGCTGGAATGTTTTGTTTTTCGCTTTTTTTTTCATTTTTTTCATTTTTAAGTTCTATATACTTCAGTATTCTAAGTCAAAAATTTCACGTTACCACTCTTTTCATATAATTGCATTGTCGCAAAAACTTGTGCATTCGTATTTGCTGCATTTTTCCAACACGGTTCATGCACGTTTCATTTTGGCATAGTGCGCAAAATTCAGACGATATTCCGTGAAATGGAGAACGGAAATAAACGTTGGCATCCTTTAACGTTTTATTTTTATGATGAGCCCAAATGTGCAATGACATCTCAAGGAACATTAATACAGGCAAGAACCAGCAGAAACATAGAACAGCAAGGAAGAACAAACAAACTGGGTTTACTTGACCAAACGTTGCTCCAGCTGGAACTGGCTCTAAATCCATTAGATTCCCATTTTTTTTAAAGGCGCGATCCTTAATTGACAACGTTTCCTTCACTTCTTTCGGAATCTAGAGAATTTTTATTAATTAATCTTAATTACATCCTCGGTATCATGCAAGAAACTTTTAAAATATAATTAAAAATTCCAATTTCAGGTTTTCACAATTTCCTTCGATTATTTACATAATGCATCAAATTATGTAATTTACATCCATAGACTCATTATGATTTCATAATTCTACCATTTCAACATGTATTTTATGGTAATTATTTATAATCATTACCTGGAAGCGTGTTCTCCGACTTTTAGTAGTTTCTATTCCAACTATGTTGATCTCCGGTTCTCCCGTCTCGGCATTATTTATCGAACTAACGAGTCGTCGAATCTCACAGTCGGAATCTGGAAGACTAATACTCTCACCAGTTTCTTCATCAACGTAGATTCGATCCATTTCCTCGTTAATGTTAGGATATCAAAGAATGCGCGTAAAAACGTATTCGTTGTAGTCCCGTATTCGGTGAGCAGAGTTTAATGTATTCGGATATATGCTCAGGTCCTCGAGGTCACTTCCCGGATACAAAGCTTTGCTCGATTTTTTTATTCTAATGATTAGATAACTTGGTGAAAGTGTTTTCTGAAACAGATTAAATGATCCAATAGCCCGATTAAATGTTTATTATTATTTTTATTAAATAACCAAATTTGATAATAATAATATATAATATTAATAATTAATATGTCAATATCATTTTTATTACTACTGTCCAATGACCTTGTTAAACGACGAACAAATAAATTAACAACTTTTTAACGTATCAACTGAAACATACATAAAATCTATTGTCCCACTCTAGTATGCTATAAACTGAATGGATTCTATCCTATTAAACTATATTGATGTGTATTCACACTTCGCTACGTTTAGAAACATACAATGGTCAAATGAAATATCATCAATCAATTGAGAAGGTATGAACAGTTTTGCAAAAGATATATAATATTTCTCAATTATAAAAACAATTTTATTTTGTTATACTTCGAGATAATTGAAATTATGTATATATTACAAGGAATTCTATTCATAAATGTAGTACCAATTATAGATGGAACGTATGATAAATTGTAAGAACAATACTTAATTAATTGCCTTGAGCGCGCGAAGCATAAACTTTGATTCTTATCGTATCTACTGTATTTTCGAAGACACAACATCGCAATTTAATAACATTTGAACAATGAAAACTTTTTTAAAAGCTATTTACTACTCATAAGATATTACACTTATTGTTAATCTCAATTTCTCATTGCATCTAAGGACTTAATTAATACGAACAAGTGCCGAATAAAATCATCATTGAGGTAGTGAAGGTTAACGACAATAACACGTCACAAAGTGCACGCGAAGTTTGAAATATTACAAGTAACCTTACAGAACACCGAGTTAATCGACGTACAACAGTTTAAAAGGTAGAATATTGCAGGGATGACAAGCCACGCTTGGAACTTTTGTATAAAATCGAACAGATTATATATTTATATCATGCTATTTTTGTATGTAATAGTAATTAGGTACTTGTTTAGGAAGACCAGTTATTAGAATTGCTGTCGTCGTCCACGTCTTGAAAACATGTACTCCAAGTAAAACCGCATTTTCTACAAGAATTTGCCACAACTGTACAAAAATACTCAAGCATACAGCACATGTTGCGGTATATTGCATATTATATATATATGATTATTATATATTATATCATTATATATCTCAAATCTCAAATTTGATCTGGAATTTGTAGGTTAATTGATTTGGCATTTTACTCGAATGAAGTTTTTCAATTAGACAAAAATATCGTTATCAATCGTTTGTTATTTAAAATATCACTTTACGTACAATAAAATATCACTTATATTTTAAATACTACAACGATAGCGAAAAATGTTATAATTAAAGCCAAAAAATAAAATGCCTAAAGCCATTAAAAATCGAAGCAAACATCTTACATTTCAGTATCTCAAATTTTCGTCAAGGGCTAATCTCCAAATGTAATCTCATGCAATCGCGAATAAAGATTACACATAGGCTTAGACAGGATTTTAATACATTGTACAAAGACTCTTTATAAGACTCGTATCAAATTTCTAGTTTCGTTTAATTTGCGGTAAAGTTGCAAAATCTGTAATTAACTCGTAATTTGTTACGAAGTAAGGAATCATTTTATTGTCAAAGGGGAAAAAATCGTGCTTACGAACGAAAGAAACTGTCGGTAACATTGAAAGGTAACACGCAAACCTTTTAGTAACATTGGATTAAAAATACCGAGTGTTTCTTTAGAGAATATTCCAGATATAGAGTATATGGTAGCTGTGCATACTAATAGCAGTGAGTTATAATTGCATAGAGATTGATATGCTATATAGTTGGAATTTACGAACAAGTTTTATTTAAATCTTCAAAATTTACATTTAAGCATTGTATTGTTTGACAATAATATAAATTATAGAATGTTATCGTAATTCCACTTATTACTTATAATGATTTGTGAGTGATAATTGTTCCTCAATTAATATTTGTTGTTCATAATAATCTAAAAGTCGACAATATGATTTATGGATGCTATGATGCTGTTAACAACGTATTAACGAGCAAATATATTTTGCATATAAAAAAAATGATCAACTGCAAATCGGACACCCAAAGAAATAAACAAAAGCAATAATATAAAAAATGTTTTAAATGTTTGATTAAATTACTAGAAGTGTGGCATTAATGGATTTGATTTATTAATGAATTCGTCAAATATAAAGAGCAATGAATGTATATATAAATTCCAAATTATATGTATAGCTTTTTAGATAAATAATAATAATACGAAGGTATTAATCTATATATAAAATTCTATTCAAGTAAATAAAATAGTAAAAGTGTATTTTTGTACATTACAATTACCAAGAAAAATACATTTTTATTCGCATAAAAAATTAAAAATCCAGATGTTTAACAATATATCAACCTGAGAAATAGTAATTAAAAAAAAAAATAAAATTCAGTAACACATACATATATACAGGTGTTACAACGAACGTAAATGTGTACATTCGTTGCTAACGTAATAGATACATAATTGACTTACGATTTTGTGAGGATTTACGTTCCGCGGAGGAAATTTTACACTTCGACATTACGTGAATTTGCACTATATCGGAAAACAAGAATAAAATTTACGTAAATAGGATTATACTAGCAATAAAATATAACATATTGTAACGATCACTACACTAACGCACATACAATTCCTCACGCATCTCTGATTCAACTGAAGGTGTTCGCCATGCCATGATAACCTGTAACTATCTAAATTGAAGATGGCCGTGCTTACCAATCACAGAAGAGTCGCTAGCATAATACACACATATTTCAATATTAGTTTTCCATGGTTCTTTTTCATAATAATGAAGGTAATTTCTTTCGTGTTTTATTCTGATAATTAACGATATGTTATTTAAAATTCATAGAAAGTTAACATAAATCTGCAGTGACGTAACAAAAAGATGGCAGATCTATACTTGGAGTTTTTAAAGTGAAAAATTTATTGTAGGGTATACTATATACAGGGTGGGATAGAAATCGTAGTACGACCGGGTAAGAAGTGATTCTGCATAAATAAACAAGAAAATAATTTAATGTTACGTTTCTTCATCCGTGGCTCTGTTTAAGCGAAAATCGAGATTGAAAATTTGATAAGCATACTTAAATTTGGCTAATTCTGGACTGAACAGGAGTAGACGATCAGAAGTTTAAACTACATGTGAAAATCAAGAAGGTAGAGTAAAATTTTTTCATAAGATGCTTCGTTTTCCTATATTAGGCCAATTCGTAATTAAATATGTTCAAATCTTATTTTCTTGAAAACGAGGCCTTAAGTAGGAAAATATTATTTTACATTTTTGATCGATTTTCGCACGTAGAATATTCTCCTGATGGTTGTTTCCTCGCATCGAGTCGGTTCAAACCAAGTTCAAATGTATTTAACAAATTTTTAAAGTAGATTTTCTCAGAAACGAACGATCGTCGTATGAAGAAATTTTATTTCGTATTTTCGACTTCTTTTTCATGTACTCTTTAAATTTGTTTCGATGAAATGTACGATTTTGTCACTACCTGTGAAAATAACGATACATTTTCGAAGTATTTAATATATACATTCCTCGGATATAAAAAACTTGTCAAATATTCATCTTACATTCATATAAGAACTACAAATGTAATGTAATGTCAATAATAAGAAGTTCGTAATGTTTATATAGATAAACTTTCGTCACCGTTAATGTCAAGCATAGATATAGACCGTGTATCTTACACATATAGGATTTTACGTCACGTGAGTTGGAATACTGACCTTGAAAAAATATAGAAATTTTGTTGTATCCTCTAGTATTTGTAGAGATAAATTCGTGCTGTACTTAACGTAACCGCCGACGTACTTAACGTAATATAACGTGTTCGCTCAAGTCAATAAGATCAGTAGACGTAGAACGATTCTTTTCCATGACGTTACATTAACGAGAACATATCACATAGTATGAATCATCCATTAATTAAAACTTAATATACTTTTTTATTACATCTTAACGGAAGTAAATAATATTGTCTTTTAAGAAGTAATAAAAATAACTTCAGTGATATATATATTAAGGAGGAGGATAATTAAAGTTTTGTTAGATTTGTATATTTAATAAATAGTTGATAGTCAATTTATACTTAAGCTCTACTATGTACGATAAATGTAACAGTCAATAAAGCTAATAATATTTTCTAGTATTGATAAGTTATGATACCATTACTACGAAAATATAAACGATTGCAACATAAACGTGAAAATAGAGGGAGTTGGAAATTTTCTCTTATTTAGTTTCCTTTGTTTAATCGATACGTGAACGATGAGAAGTCAGACGTTTTAACTATGATTTTTGCTGGCGAGTAAAAAAATGGATAGAAACGATAAACATAAATCAAGCGAAGAAAATATGCCAGATGTTTCCTCGTTTAAAGAATCGGAGAAGAATTCTGGATTATTTACCGTGTTCCAGTCTTCTGCGAATAAGTTACCCTTTAAATTGTGTCGACAACCTCCACGTAGTTACAAAACGTAATGAGTATCGTATGAATATTTTATGAAAATTTGTTACTCTATATAATAAGATATATTTTGTGGAAATTTTGATACAGAAGGAAAGATGAAATTCCATTTTTTATACCACATAAGAAGTTGCTCGAAAAGATCGAGTACAAACCGGAAATTCGAGAACCGCTGGTAAGGATTTATATAAGTTTTTATATTTAGTTAATCGTTATTCGTAGATATTTACGAACAATATTTCTGTAGACCGGTTTTAGCGCCCATCAAGAAAAGATTAGGAAACAGATCCACAAACCACGTATTTCGTTAACAAAAGTAGAAGAGAAGAAGGTACTAACAAAGGACGTCACTTCGGATACAGGCATAAGTTGCATTACAAATTTTATGGCTTGTCTCCTAACTTTATTTTCAACGAATATTTCTATTAATTGGTCATTTTTTGCGAATTAGGTGTTGAATCAAAGGAAACAATTTCGTGGGCTTTTCAAAAATATAAAAAGGAAACAGATTTTGATGCTCCTAGGTTTATTGATCAGTTAGAGTTAATTCGACAATTACGAGAGGATCGCAAAGTAGGATTTTTTTATATGATTTACGCTGTGGATCGATCATCGAAATATTTTACGCCTTACGCTTTAAAGTGAATAGCTCTATTGTGTTTATGGTCACGGAAAACTTTCAGAAACGCACGGATAATTCCCAATAATATTTTTTAGGGTTGTTCAGTATAAAGATGTAGGTAAAACTTATATGACCATCAGTGCCAGTGGTGTAACTCAGTATAGTCCAGACGAAATGAGTTTTACTCCTATCGAACATTGGGAAAGAGAATACATTTTTTACTTAAAGTTATTGAAAGTATGCATTTGTCTTCTGAATCTTTTTTTTTTATTTATTCTATAACCGAACGTTTCTCTCATTTCTCGATATTTTTACGATTTATATTTCTAGATAAGGACATTCATTATGTTTCGAATGTGGAAAGCTTTGTACGTTTGGAAGAAGTCAGTTAGTTATAAGAAATTCGTTATGGCAAAGAATTATTTAAAGGAAAATCTGTTTGTATCGGATTCGATTCTTAGTAAGGCACTGTTAGAAATTAAATCAATGTGCTCGGTTTTCCTTGATTCGAGTTTCTTTGACAACTCTATTCTTGAGAAGATTTTACTTTTTTATTTCGTAGAAAAACAGGTATGTATCGGCTGTTTTAAAAAAAGATTTCTTTAAAAAAAGTATCATATACACTAGGATGGTATTAGGTATAGATGATTGATTATATTGAACAGATAAGATTTTATACGGATGGAAAACGTTAATATCGAAAACGAAAGCCATCCTGATATACGTATACGTATGCGTGTATCCGTAATAAATATCATATAATCTTTAAAATATTTATTTACAGTTTACAAAACTAGAACTGCTTAGAAATAAGTTAGATGAGTTTAGAAGATTAGCGATAGATATTGTAAATAATGCTTGCCTCGGTGCTTTATTAAATGCTGGATATACTCCCGATGATTCCAATATAACAATAGAGCAAACTGCATATGGAAAACTTGGTAGTATTTTGAAAGGGGCATGTAGATGTTTTATATTTTCTCCCATCACTTAGAATGTATTTTCTAATCTTATCTAATTTGCCGCCGTAACAGGTGAATTCGGTGTTGCGAAATTCAAAATGCCGAAAGATGGTATTCTTAAAATGAGTTACATCGAACAAGCACGAAAGAGAGAAAAGTGTTACAGGTTGTCTTGGTAAGCCATTGTTTAAAAATGATATTAAAGTTTTCATGAATATTTTATCCTTCGTACCTATATATATATATATATATATATATATATATATATATATATATATATATATATATATATATATATATATATATATATATATATATATATATATATATATATATATATATATATATATATATATATATATATATATATATATATATATATATATATATATATATATATATATATATATATATATATATATATATATATATATATATATATATATATATATATATATATATATATATATATATATATATATATATATATATATATATATATATATATATATATATATATATATATATATATATATATATATATATATATATATATATATATATATATATATATATATATATATATATATATATATATATATATATATATATATATATATATATATATATATATATATATATATATATATATATATATATATATATATATATATATATATATATATATATATATATATATATATATATGGAAAATAAATTTTGGCGATGAAAAACTATTTTATGATCCAGCTTCATTCATTTGGTTGATTATATGCAAACAAATATGATGCACGATCTTTTATTAAATACTTATCGAGAATTTATACAACTCTTAAAGATTTACACGGAATTTTTACCGAATGACGAATCAATAGATAACGATATAATCGATCTTCCATTAAAAGAAAATCGCCCACCATCGCATCGTATTCAGGTATAAAACATGATAGTTATTAAGAGTAATAATATGTGAGAACTTAAAAATACTGTTTTTTAGTTGCCATATTGGGTCGTGGATTTGCTTATTTTACCAACTTCAGAAATTATAATGGATCCGTCCGAAAGTATTCTCCTTTTCGTAATAAGAACTATACAAACTATGTGGGAGGAGAACTTATATGCTATTAAACCTTTGCTGTCCGATCCCTTCTTCCATTCTTTCACGAGGTACAAACGCTAGCTTTTATAGAATTAATTTATGAAATAGTTTCTTCAAATCGTAAGGTTTTATATTTCGTACATTTATTCGAGGCCCATGATCAATCATAAGATAGAAGAGCGTATTTGCGGTTACCCTCCAGAAGTTCAGAAAGTCTTGGAACAAGATCCGATCACGCTAGCTTTTAAGACAGAATTGAAGGAAATCTTTGAGAAGAATTTAGCCGCGATAAAACGTTATTGCCAACGATTCAATCAGATCAAACAGTTTTATTACGAAGACACGACGTTTGACGAAGATATTATCCGAGACAATCGAGATGTTAAATTATTTCGAGAATGGAGCATCCGTTACAAGAAAGAAGTAGATCTGATCAATAACGTAGTCGATTTTCAGCCATTCGGTCTCTTTTTCATTCAACTCGAACGATTTAAAGGCGCTGCTGAAACTGCTCCCAGAGGGAAATTAAGTGTTATTGAAGCCGTTATGCCTGGGTAAATGTAAAGAAGATATTTTTACGACATTGTACAGTGTATAGTATTGGTTCTAACACACGCTATTAGACTAGGAAAAAGTCGAGTTGACGCTTTATTAACGCAAGCGATTGACGCTATCAATTATCTGGAAACAGTTCCTGTGACGACTGAAGAATATGTTGCATACATAAAGTTTGTAGACCAAGCTCAACAAAGTGTAGATGATATGGAATCTCAGTTGGATTACGTGAAAGAGCTGTACGATACAATGGAAGAATTTGCTTTTCCTATACCGTCGATGGACATGGCAAATTATTTGGTAACGACCAAATGATTTTACAATCCTCTTACGGATATGTAACATTAACAAAAACGTTGTATTTGCGAAAACAGGGTATTGGAAGTCATTTTACTAGTTTGCGATTAGTCGTAGAAAATAGATTAGAAGAGAGGCCAAAGCTAATAAACAAATTCGATGCTCAACTTCAGAAAGATATCACAGCATTGAACGAAGAAATATCAGAAATTCACGATGAAATAATGGTACGATCTGACCAAATATATCTTTCGCAATCTCTGGTTTACCATTATCTATTTTATCGCTTTTATAGCAACCTTGGCTATTGGATTATGAAAGCGACGTTGACGCCTGTTTGAATACTTTGAAAGAACTCGATAAACGATTAGCTGCCTGTGCAACTAAGGCGGAAGAATACCGTGCCCATCAAAGGACATTCAAGGTACCGCGTTAAGTTACAAAATTTTATTAGCTTCCTGTAGTGCAATACATTATACAATTGATAATATTTTATTTTTTTTTTCATCTCAAAAAGCTCGAACAAACGAGGTTCGACAGTTTAGACCAGGTAATGAACGAATTGAAGTTACGTACTTTATTATGGGAAAGCTTAACTTCTTGGGAATATGCTATTCATGAATGGTATACCGCCGAGTTCGATACCTTAGACGTCGAAGAGATCACTGCGGTTACAATGCGTACCATGAAACACATAATTCAGTTAGAGAGAGGCTTACCACCGAATAAAATTGTACCGAACTTGAAGGAGAATGTCGAAATAATAAGAAATAAGTTACCGATTCTTGGTTACTTGAGAAATCCGGACTTAAAAGATAGACATTGGGAGAAGATTGAGGAAATATTGAACTATACTTTCAAACCTGATGAGAAGAAAACTTGGACTCGAATGGAAGAGCTCGGTGCTTTCTTGAAACCTCAGGAATTAATGGAAGTTGCTGCCGCGGCAAGCTCTGAAGCTAACTTAGAAAATATGTTAAAGAAAGTCATAGATACATGGGAAGATCTTAAATTTATTATTGTACCCTACAGAGAGGGAAAAGATGTTTTCATCATAGGTAGTCTCGAAGAAATTCAGACCGCAATGGACGAAAGTAACATTAATTTACAAACTATCAACGCATCTCGTCATGTCGGTCCCATTCGACCTGTGGTCGAAGAGTGGGTAGAAAAATTGGATTTATTTATGGTTACCTTGGTACGAATATCTTTTTAAATATGATAGAATTTTCAGATATCTAGCTAATTCATGAGATATGTTTGCTGTAGGAAGCGTGGCAATACTTGCAACAGCAATGGTTGTATCTGGAAGCAATATTTTCAGCTCCGGACATTCAGCGACAGTTACCTATGGAAGCAAAACTTTTTATCGAGGTTGACAGGTTTTGGAAAGATCTTATGAGACGGACTCATAAGGTTTGTCGCTAATTTCATCAATTCGATTGATAACGTTTGATTGCGACATCGAAAATTTTTAGGCGCCTTTGGCAATGCCAGCTTGCACACAACCAGGATTATTAGAACAATTTGAGGAGAATAACCGAATGTTAGACGAAGTAATGAAATGTTTGGAGGCATATCTTGAGACGAAACGGGTAGCGTTCCCAAGATTCTTCTTCTTATCGAATGACGAACTTTTAGAAATCTTAGCTCAGGTACCGATGAAACAGGGGAAAAGTTAAAAGTATTAATCAACATTATGTTTCACATTGAAACGCTTACTAAAATACCAACTATTGCACGGTAGACAAAGAATCCACATGCGGTACAAAGACATTTGCAGAAATGCTTTGATGCGATATACAGACTGGAATTTGCAATGAAAGAAAATGAATCCGGTGAAATAGTACTAACGACTGATATAGTTGCCATGATCTCACCGGAAGGTGAAAAAGTTTCGCTTGGAAAAGGTTTAAAAGCAAGAGGTAACGTCGAAGATTGGCTAGGTCGAGTCGAGGAAGCTATGTTTTCGATATTAAGGAGAAGAATGAAAGAGGGAATAAAAGACTTGGCTGAGAAAGGACGAGAGCAATTCCTGTATATGCATCCTTCTCAGGTTACATGCTTTATTTCTACAGTAATTTACGATAAATATTACTTCGAAATATTTTTTACGGCACAAACTTCTTACTGAAAATAAAAGTAAAATAAGGCGTAAAATAAAATACGATTAATAAAATTACGTACTTGTTTTCTTCTTACCTTCCCCAGATAATCCTCGCTGTATGCCAAATATTCTGGACCCGAGATATCCACATTATCTTAGATTCTACTGAGAATGTGATTGAGAAGATGAAAGCGTTCGAACAGAAATGTTTCGCAGTTCAGTATACCTATGCGTATCTGTAAAACTTATGTTAAAAATTTCTATGGGACAACCTTTCCTTTTGCTATATTATAGGATTTAAATGAATTGGCGACAATGGTAAGGAAAGAATTGCCACAATTGATACGCGATGTTATAATTAATTTGGTAACGATAGATGTGCACGCCAGAGACATCGTTACGACTTTGGTTGAAAATAGAGTAATGTCAAGGTGAACATTGAAACGTAACAATTTTTTAATTCAAAGAACCATATGTTAGAACCATTTTCCAAGAACTTTACTTGTATTACTTGTATTATAGTACAAGCTTTGATTGGCTAAAAGCGTTACGTTATTACTGGGATGAAGAACTCGACAATTGTTTAACACGTATGAGTAACTCTAAATATCTTTACGGGTATGAGTATCTCGGTGCTCAAAAGAGGCTTGTCATAACTCCTCTAACGGATAAATGTTATTTATGCCTTATGGGCGCTCTTCAGTTAGATTTAGGTATTAATGAATATCAAAGCAGAATTGCACGTTATCTTTTCAAAAAACTGAGAATACGTGTTTACAAATATTATTCAATAGGTGGTGCTCCCGCAGGACCTGCAGGTACTGGGAAAACGGAAACGACGAAGGATTTAGCCAAAGCAGTTGCTGTTCAGTGCGTTGTGTTCAATTGTTCGGAAGGACTCGATTATAGAGTACGCCAAATATTATCGCTTATTCATTTTCGTGGCAGTCGCTTGAAAATTGAAACAGCTAAGGATAATTACAACGGGAAAATTGCGTCCCACAGATGATGGGTAGATTCTTTTCTGGTCTGGCAACTTCTGGAGCCTGGTGCTGTTTCGACGAATTTAATAGAATAGATATAGAAGTGCTTTCCGTAATAGCTCAGCAACTAATTACTATCAGAAATGCTAAAATTGCTAGAGCCAACGAGTAAGTTGTTTCAGCTATAACGTTTAAATAAATCTAAACGTTCTTTTACCTTTTAGATTCATGTTCGAAGGAAGAATGATCAAATTGGTGATGTCTTGCGCAACTTTCATCACTATGAATCCAGGATATGCTGGTCGTACGGAATTACCAGACAATTTAAAAGCACTGTTCCGACCATTCGCTATGATGGTTCCAGATTATAGTACGATTATAATAGTAATATAGTAAACTCCTGTTGATCTAGATATTTTTAAACGATACTAAATTAGTGTCTTTTCGTAGAACTTATTGCTGAAGTTACGCTGTATTCAGAAGGATTCGAATCGTCAAAATCGTTATCGCAAAAAATGACTCTGATGTATACACTTAGCAGCGAACAACTTTCCCAGCAGGATCATTATGATTTCGGCATGAGGTATCTATTAATGTTGTTGCAATTTCAATAGCTATATACTGTTTAGTATCAATTAACATCCAATTATTTCCCCATTTCTAAAGGGCTGTAAAAAGCGTATTGGTAATGGCAGGTAGTCTTAAACGAAATAATCCTGATAAACCAGAGGACGTTGTTTTAATTAGAGCCTTGCGCGAGAGCAATATACCGAAGTTTTTACGCGATGACGCTGAACTGTTCGAAGGTATCGTAGGAGATCTCTTTCCAGGCATTGAAATTCCAGAGGAAGAATACGGTATCCTACGGGACACAGCTATCGAAGTAATTTATAGTTAATGATATTTTTAATCACATCCATATAACAAGCCCCAACTACATAACATAATTTTTACAGATAATGAAGGAAGCCGGTTTACAGCCAGAAGTTTGCATTTTGAAGAAAATTACTCAGCTACATGAATGTTTGCAAGTGAGACATGGAGTGATGTTAGTTGGTCCAACTGGCTCTGGAAAAACGACAGTTCTGAGAGTAGGTTGAATAATAGTTGGCTTCTTTTTATTGTAAACGGTATAATTTTTGTCAAGATATTATTTTTATTTTTTATATTATATATTACTTTTTAAACAAACACAAGAGCTATTAAATAACAGCTTTTTATTTCAGACTCTTGCAAATACTTACAGTCGACTGTATGAAATGGGTATACCTGGACCGTGTTATCAGCCAGTTCACGTATATCTAATCAATCCGAAAGCAGTTACGATCGGTGAATTATACGGAAAAGTAGATATAATGACCAACGAATGGCAAGATGGTTTAATCGGCTTTACAGTTCGTCACGCATGTTCCGTTAGTAGGAATCCTGGCCCGAGCAAAAGCGAAGGAATGCTTTTACGAAAAGTTAATAAATCTCATTTTCATTGTTCAGTTTACCACGGAAGACCATCAATGGATCGTGTGCGACGGACCCGTCGATGCCGTATGGATAGAAAATATGAACACCGTGTTAGATGATAATAAAATGTTGTGTCTGGCTAACTCCGAAAGAATTAAATTCACTCCTTATATGCGGATGTTATTCGAAGTTATGGATCTTGCCCAGGCATCGCCTGCTACCGTCAGTCGTTGTGGTTCGAAGACCAGCATTCTATCATTTATTTAATCGCCGATTTTATGTTTACGTGTCTTAACTTTTAATTCTTATATTTTAAGGAATGGTGTATGTCGATCCTACAGAGTTAAAGTGGATGCCTTACGTGAAATCATGGTTAGACACACTTCCTGATGCTATCGTAAGAAACGAACATCGATTACAGATCATCGAACTCTTCGAAAAATATTTCGAAGAAGGACTAATATTCTGCAGGAAAAATTGTGTCTGCCCAATTCTACAGGTATACAATTTGTCCCGTCTTACACGACGATCGAAACATAATTTTTCCAACATCGTCGTTCCATCTACCAATTAGGTTGATATTAGTAAAGCAAGTATGACTTGTTCGATATTGGAATATATTTTAAACGAACCAGATGCGATAGAAAGAACTACGGAAAAGGCGCGAATTAGAACATTTTTAGCTCAGTCATTCGTCTTTGCCTATCTTTGGGCTGTTGGCGGTAACGTTAACGATGCCTCTCGAAGCGTGTTCGAAGCTTTTGTGAGAAAACAATTTGAAGATGATGAAGATGCATTGTACAATCTTAAAATTAAATAGCGTTTGTATTCTTTGGTTTCTATACATATAATAGCGTACTATTCTCCTGTTTTGTTTCGATATGCAGTTTGCCGTCGATAGATTTATGGGAGATTTATGTAAACGTACAACAACATCGATTGGATTCTTGGACGGATATTATGCCACAATTTATATACGACAGTGAAGTGCCATTTTTCGATATTCTAGTACCAACTGTCGATACTGTACGATTTGGTTACTTAATGAAGAAATTAGTCGGAATAAATAAACCGGTATTCTTTACCGGAGATACTGGTTAGCAATATTTAACGATCTTTATACTTTCTCTTACTTATACTTATACTATACGACCTTTATACTTACTTACTATACGATCTATAACTCTAATTGAAGGAATAATTTATAGGAGTTGGTAAATCGGTAATAACGAAAGTTGTTTTAAATAATTTGGAAGATAGTCAGCTTTGGGTACCGATCAATTTGATCTTCTCTGCTCAAACCAGCAGTGGCAGAACGCAAGAGATTTTAGAACTAAAATTGGAAAGAAGGAAAAGAACCGTGCTGGGGGCACCCATTGGAAAAAGAGTGTGTGTATTTGTCGACGATGTCAATATGCCAAAATTAGATACATACGGATCCCAACCACCGATCGAGCTGTTACGGTACTCTAATTATATTAAACGCCAGATACATTTCTTTCAACACAAAATTATTCATAATTGTCGAATCGCATAGACAATTACTAGATTTCCACGGTATGTACGATAAAGAGAAGTTGTTCTGGAAGCATATAGAAGACGTTGTTTTCACTGTTGCGTGCGCTCCTCCTGGAGGAGGTAGAAATCCATTAACACCGAGATTTGTGAGACATTTTGCCATGCTATTTATCCCAGCTCCTATAGAACTGTCGCTAAAAGGGATTTTCAAGTAAACCCTTTCCAACAGTAAATTCTTTATATCATATAAAATTGTTTCACGCACGACATAAGGCGAATTCCTTTTAGGGCAATTATGAACGGATTTCTGGAAGATTTTGTAGAGTCTGTTAAACAAATCGGCGATAGAATAGTAAACGCAGCAGTCGATGTTTATCAAAGAATCGCAACGGATCTTTTGCCAACGCCAGAAAAAAGCCATTACATCTTTAATTTGCGGGATTTGTCGAAATGTATACAAGGTATCATGCAAGTTGACGCGGCGGTCATTAAACAACCCATCGAAATGTACAGGTATAATCGTCACACTGTAACAGCCATGATGTCTGTTAGTATTTTGTAATGAAAAGAAGAGGATAAAAATATTCGTATTCTTCAGGCTCTTTTGTCACGAATGTCTTCGTGTTTTCCACGACCGACTGATCAACGTTCAGGATAAGAGCTATTTCCTTAAACTTCTAAACAACATATGTATCAACGCATTCGGTATGGAAGTGATGCGGCTTCCGGATGAAGAAATTATCGAGAAACCACCGATACTGTTATTTGGTGACTTCATGTCCTTCGGAGCAGCAAGAGAACAACGAATTTACGAAGAGCTTACGGAAATTTCAAAAGTTAGAAGAACTTTGGAGGTAATTACTATATCCCGCTCATGTTAATACCAATTTGATTTCCTTATTCATATCTTTAAATATATATCACAGGATTACTTGGAAGATTATCGTTTCTCCGTGGGAAAAGACATGAGAATTATTTTCTTCATGGATGCTATAGAACACATCTGCAGGCTTGCAAGAATTCTTCGTTCTGAAAGAGGCAATGGCCTTTTAATCGGTGTCGGTGGAATGGGAAAGCAAAGTCTGACAAGATTAGCATCTCATTTAAATGGTTACAAGTTTGTATCAGCATTAATTATTCAATTATACAAATTACTTCTATCGAAACAATATGATCAAAGAGCCTACCACAACTGTCGAATGTTTTAAGATGTTATCAAATAGAAGTTACGCGTACGTACGATAAAAATTCATGGCACGAAGATCTTCGCCGATTTTATTTCGAGCCAGGTACCGAGGCTAAACATACAACGTTTTTATTCACCGACACTCAGATTGTGTTAGAAGAATTTTTAGAAGACATCAATAATACACTTAATACAGGTAGCTTTAACACAGTTCTGATGCGTTTTCCAAATAATATTACTGCCAAAAAAGTTATTCGACTGTTTGAATAACGTTAATCTGTAATAATCATCGACGGACATTCTTTTCAGGCGAAGTACCAAACTTGTACGAAGCAGATGAACTTGAAAAAGTTATCATAGCTACCAGGCCTGCGGCGAAACAAGCAGGGATTCACGAAGGAAACAGAGACGCAATTTATCAATATTTCATTGGAAGAGTTAGAAATCAACTTCACTTAATGATCTGTATGAGTCCTATAGGCGACTCTTTTAGGTCTGTTCTTTAAAATATCAATTATTCTTTGTATGTATATGATAACTGACCGCTCTCTTTACTTATTACTGAAGCCATTGATTATATTTTATAATCTTTTATCATATAGATTGTATTTTATTATCTTCATAGACGTCGCTGTCGTATGTTTCCTTCATTGGTAAATTGTTGCACCATTGATTGGTTTACGAAGTGGCCGGATGATGCCCTTTTATCGGTAGCAGAAAGTTCATTGGCCACAATCGTTCCAAAGGATTCGGGAAAGCTTACTAACCTTAGTATCATGTGCGTCTTGATCCATGAGGTATCGTTTGCCATTATAGTAGATTCACCATAAAATAACATTGGAAAGTACGAGGTTTGAAAGAAAATCATGTAAAATTATAGAGCGTGGAAGAAGTAACAGCTCGATTCTTCATAGAAATGCGTCGAAGATATTATACCACACCGAGCAGCTATTTAGAGCTTTTAAAGCTATTTCAAACAACTTTAGAAAGGAAGAAGAAAGAAATAGAGTTGCTGAAAAGTAAAATTGCCAATGGACTCAACGTAAATACTATATAATCCCATATTCTTCCGAATGTTTAAAACAGTTTCTTTGAAAGAATGTAACTTCGCTAACATTTATAATACGATTCAGTGGATATTAAATTGATTAATACAATTACTTGGACAGAAACTGCGAGAAACCAATGAGATGGTTGGCGTAATGAAGGAACAATTGATAATTCTTGCCCCAAAGCTCAAAACAAGTACCGACGAAGTATCGAACCTGGTGAGAATCCTTGCGAAGCAGCAAGTCGAATGTGACAAAGTGAAGTATGTCGTAATGGCTGAAGAAGAAGTAGCAAAAGTACGAGTAACAAATGAAGAAAAGAAAGTTTAACGGATAGATGATCTTATTTATCGAGTACATAATTTTATCTGTATCAGGCGAAAGCCGAAGAAACGGCGACTTTAGAAGCTGATGCTAGGCAAGACTTGGAAGCAGCAATGCCGGCTTTACTGGAAGCTCAAAAAGCATTAGAAGCTTTAAATAAAAGCGATATTAATGAAATTCGCGTATTTCATAAACCACCTCACCTAGTGCGTTTTGTCATGGAAGCAGTAAATTTACTGTTGGGTGAAAAGTGAGTTTCATAGGATCGTTGAAAGTGATACTACTAGTTATGTTACATTTTCATCTTAGGACAGATTGGCCAACCGCAAAATTAGTCTTGGGTGACATACATTTTCTTGACCGCTTAATGGCTTATCCTAAGGACGACATAAGCGATAAACTTTTAGAAAAGTTACAAGAATATATCCAACATCCAGAATTTCGACCAGATTTAGTGGCTAGACAAAGTAAAGCTTGTAGATCGATGTGCATCTGGGTGAGAGCAATGGATGGATATGCTAAAATCTACAGGGTGGTCGAGCCAAAGCGACAAAGGTAGATTATTTCTTCATAGTTCTTAAGAAAACTAAATAGATAATTCTCATAACGCATGGGAAACGAGGAATTGTAATAACGATTAATTACACAGATTGCACAAAGCTGAAGAAGAATTGCGAGAGATAGAAGAAGTTCTTGCTTTGAAACAGCAAGAACTCGTTACGGTGGAGAATAAGATCAAGGAGTTGCAGAAACAATACGATGCAGCGATAGAAAATTTAAATAAATTAGAAGCTGAAATGGAATTAGCGGAAACAAGATTGAATAGATCTGGACGACTGACATCTGCGTTGGTGGATGAACGAGTTCGATGGGAAGAATTAACGCGCGTACGATAAAAAGTTGGATTCAGAAAACACGACATGATGAATTATTATCAATTTCCTTTTCATGTTGTAAATATTCAGGGTTTTGACAAGCAAATTATCAACTTGACTGGCGATACATTGGTAGCTGCTGGAGCCCTTGCTTACCTAGGTGCTTTTACAAATGAGTACAGAGAGGAATTAATACAAACTTGGTTATCCAGTTGCAAAGACTACGATATTAAAACTACAGAGAACTATAGTCTCATTGCAATACTAGTCGATGCTTATGAAATTCGTCTCTGGAATACGTATGGTTTACCACGGGACAAAGTTAGCACAGAAAATGCGATCTTTGTAACACAAGCTAGTCGTTGGCCTTTGATGATTGATCCCCAAGAGCAAGTAACTGCAGCAACTTTTCTAATATGTTTTAAGTTATTCGAATCTAATATCGTTTCCCAGCAATATTCTATTTGCATTCAGGCAAATAGATGGATACGGAACATGGAACAAGAAAACAATTTAAAAATATGCAAGCTGACGGATACACATTTAATGAGGATACTAGAAGCGTCCATAAGGCTTGGAACTCCTGTATTAATTCAAGAAGTAGGAGAAGTATTGGACCCAAGTTTGGAACCTATCCTACTTAAACAAATCTTTACTCTAGTAAATGCGATACATCATCTACTTTAAAATAATTCAGATATGGTTTAAGTGATACGAGATAACAATTATAATAATATCATTTGATACGATTATGTAGGGTGGTAGGACATTGATACGATTTGGCGATATAGACGTCGAATATGACAGTAATTTCAAATTATACATTACGACGAAAATCGCGAATCCTCATTATTTACCAGAGATCTGTATTAAAGTAACGATAGTTAACTTTACCGTAACTATGGCAGGCCTCGAAGAACAGATACTCGCGTATGTACACTGTTTCTAGTAGCATTAATCTAGTAACACATATTTAATCGCGTAACACATATATTCAACCTCAAAATCCCCTATCTCGTTAAACTTCACACAGAGATGTGGTACGTCTCGAAAGACCAGACTTGGAAACAATGAGGAATGATTTAATAATAAAAATCAATGCGGACAAAGGTCAATTGCAAAGTATCGAAGACAGAATATTGACTTTGTTATATGGTGCAGGCGATGATATTTTGGACAATGAAGACTTAATAGAAACCTTAAATGACAGTAAAGAAACTTCTGCAATTATTGCAACGAGATTAATTGAAAGTGAAGCGACTGAGAAAAAAATCACAGTTGCGCGCGAAAAATATCGATCTGTTGCGAATCGTGGATCAGTCTTGTATTTCGTAGTTGCAAACCTCGCGAACATAGATCCCATGTACCAATTTTCGTTAAAGTACTTCAGTCAAGTAATTAATTGCACGATATATTTACGAATCTGCAAATATATAATTCGATATTATTGTAACATTCTTCGACATTTTATTAGTTATTTAACACGGTAATCGAAACCACGGAAAAAGAGGCTGATTTGCAGCGGCGTTTGCAGACCTTATTGAATGAAATAACATTAGCTATCTACACAAATGTTTCACGAGGTCTATTTGAGAAACACAAGTTGATATTTAGTTTCATGCTCAATATTGCAGTACATATAAACGAGCAGATCGTGTCTCAGGCGCAATGGAATTTTATGTTGCGGGGGCCAACACGAATTGTCGTGGTAAGTTATGTCTTTCATGATTTATTTACGTAACTCGTAACTGATATTTTTCGGTCGATTTGTAAATGTTTCAAATAGGAAGAAATTCCAAATTATCCATCTTTAACGCCTAAAATGTGGACTTCGATTAATTATTTAGCTAATACGTTTAACAAATTTAAAAATGTTTTAAACGACGCATTTAAGAAGATTCCGTTAACTCTTGGATATTTTAAGGAGGTAATATGTCATTTTTACATTCTGATTTTTATTTCCATTATGTATATAGCTTTACCTCTTCTTTTTGTAGGAAATTAATATAATCCCTACCAATCAAACAATCGCTATGCAAAATTGGGATGAGATATTAACCGACATTGAAAAATTAATGTTGATAAAATCATTGAAGGAGGAGGTATTAATTTTTGCAATCACAGCCTACGTATCGAACAATTTAGGACCAAAATTTGTAGAATCACCTATGGCAACATTGCAACTTCTGTACGTATAAAGAAGTTATGTTCCACATCGCATTACTTCGTAATTATACAGATTGAATTTTTTATCGAAAATTTTCAGATTTGCAGATACATCAAATAAAATACCATTGATCTTCATACTTACAACTGGATCAGATCCCTTCAGTGCTTTTCAAAAATTCGCACATGATATGGGTTTTTCCGATAGATGTGATTCCATTTCTTTGGGTCAAGGCCAAGGTCCCATTGCAGAAGGACATCTACGAGCAGGCACCATCGAAGGTAGATGGGTGTTTTTACAGAATTGTCATCTAGCTGTATCGTGGATGATCAATATGGAGCAACTTATATTGGAGATTGCTGAGGAACCAGAGGGAATAATTCATAATGACTTTCGATTATTTCTGAGTTCGATGCCGAGTGCTGCTTTTCCAGTTTCCGTTCTTCAAAATTCCGTAAAAGTTACAAATGAGCCACCAAAAGGACTGAAGGCCAATATCAAGAGAGCATTACATGAATTGGACGAAGAATATTTTGAACATCATCGTAAGAAAGAGTTCCTTATATTAATATCCAAAACGCAAAATATATATCTCATTCTAATGAATTTAGGATTTCTTCTTTTCGTGTACAGATTTAGGCGAAAGCTGGCGCCGAATTATATTCGGAATTTGCTTTTTCCACGCAATTATTCAGGAACGAAAAAAATTTGGACCCCTAGGATGGAATATTCTGTATGAATTTAACGACAGCGACAGAGAATGTTGTTTGCTAAATTTGAAATTATTTTGTGTCCAAGATCGTATACATTGGAATGCATTAATATACACTACAGGTGTATAAAACATATTTCAAATTTATTTCTTGTGTTAGAAAGGATCAAATACATTAAACATTCACTATATATTCAATTTAGGTGAAATTACTTATGGGGGTAGGGTTACAGACAGTTGGGACTTAAGATGTATGAAAACCATCTTAGCTATTTTCTTTTCTCCTAAATCTTTGGATATCAGTGAGTAACTTAAAGACAAATTGTAATTAAAAATAACTTACAATATCTATAACTATTAATATATATTATTATTATAAATAATCACAGATTATGTCTATTCGCCATCTGGGAAGTATTACTGTCCTGTTTACAATACCCTACAAGAGTATCAAGATTTTGTAGAAACTTTTCCTATAATTGATGATCCAGAAATTTTTGGAATGCATGAAAATGCAAATATTGCTTATCAGGTAATCAAAGACAGTTAAGTTAGGAACAGGAAAGACTTTACATCCTTGTGATAAATTAAAATATAATTATATTAGTTAAAAGAAGCACAATTTGTACTAAATACCATTTTGGAAGTACAACCACAAGAATCTATCACAGATCAAGATAAATCTAGTTCAGATGTAGCATATGAAATTGCTGACATGATAAAGGATAGAATTCAATTGCAAATAGATATTACAAAATGTAACCCAGAGCACTTGAAAGTAATCGACAATGTTTACTTTATACTACTATTAATTATAAAGCAGATGTCATTATAAAATTATTACAGAGAGATTCAATGGGAAGACTTCCATCCTTAAGTACTGTTCTTGTTCACGAGGTTGATAGGTATAATATACTTCTAAAGAAGATACATATATCAATAGAAAATTTACAACGTGCCATCAAAGGTTTTGTTGTTATGTCTGAGGAATTAGAAAACGTTTTTGTGGCTCTTGTCAATAATCAGGTTTTATAATAATTTTCGATCTATTAAATTTTTGTCAAAGAATATTTTCAATGGTGTAATTGATATTAATATCTTTAAATTATTTTTATACAATTTTTTTAATATTATATTATTAATACTTATTATACACAAATTAGGTACCACAAATGTGGCATAATGTAAATGTCTATCCATCATTAAAAACCTTAGGAAGCTGGATAAGGAACTTAGAGCTAAGGATTGACTTCATTCAAGTAAAAAAATTGTAAAATATAAAAAATAACTAGTTTAGTAAGTATTATACATTACAGATTTGGTTGATTGATATAAAGCCAATTTCTTTTTGGATTTCGGGTTTATCCTTTCCACAAGGATTTTTAACTGGCATGTTACAAACATGTGCTAGAAAGTATAACATTCCTATAGACCACCTAAAGTTGGATTTTATTGCTACCAAAGTTGTTCTTGATCAAGAAGATATTGAAATAGAGCACAAAAAGGCTGAAAAGGAGGTCTGATCATTATAAATATTTTACCACGATTAAATATTACACAACGAAAGAATGATTCATTCAGATAGTTGATATAATATCTTAGGTAATACAGGTATATAAAAACTTACAAGTACCTGAAGATGGAGTTTTAATACATGGGTTATTTATTGATGCCGGTAGATGGGATTTTGGATCCATGCTTTTAGTAGACGCAAATATAGGTAAAATATTTGAAAAAAATTTCAGAAAATATTACTCTTTAAATAATATATCATCACGAAAGGCAAATAAATGATCTATTTTAGGTGAAATGAATCCATCTCTTCCAGTTTTACATATAAATCCAGTATTAGAATTACCAAAAGATGATTCAAGATATGTTTGCCCTTTGTATAAAACAGCAGTTCGAGCAGGTGTATTATCCACAACTGGACATAGTACTAATTTTGTTGTTGCAGTTCTACTTGCTTCTGAAAAAGAACAATCATACTGGATTTTAAAAGGAACTGCTCTTTTGATTGAAATTGTAAATTAAATTTCCTATGTTATAACACATATACTAATTCATGATTGAGATGTAATAATTAAAAACATAAATTTAAGTAATTCTATATATTTATATTTATGTTATATACATACTTCACAATATAAAGCTTTTAAACTAATGTTAGAACGACTGAATATATAACTTAATTGTAATGAACACAAAAGTTGATAACGCAAACTACTATGTATAAGTGAAAATCAGAATAATTCTCTTTGTTTTCTCTTCACAAGATTAGCATGATAATTGTAATCTTCCTTGTCAATAGTCCACATTAAGGTCATGTAAATTGAAAGTATCAAAGCCAATAATAATCGGTCTAATCTATAGAATATTAAAAACCAGTTATTTATTTACTACAAACAGTTTGAGTACTATAATATTGATATCTTGAATATGCCTTACGTCATATGAGGATATACCCATAAAATAATAAGAAATCCTGTAAAACTTGGATGTCTCATGTGTGAGTAATAACGTAACAATTCTTTTGACTTCATTAGCGTAGGACTTGGTCTAAATGAAAACTTATAATATACTTGTTTTATTCCAACTAATTCAGATATATCCATCATCAAACATCCACTATAAATTATTGACCAAGCCAATACATGTAAAGCAGTAAATGTAAACCACAAAACATTATTAAAAGATATATTAACATTCCATAATGCAATAGATGAAATAGTTCGCCATTTGTTAAATAATAAATGAAGAGTCATAGCACTAGTAACATTATAAATACTTCTTTCCATATAATCCATATGTAATTTACAAAATAAATGTTTCACAACATTACTTGCCATAAGTGAATGTTGGAACATGAAAATACTTAATAGAGACATGTTTATTATTAGCAACCATAATACAGACTCTGTATCTTCATCTGTAACATAATTTTGTAAAACAAAGTATGAATTGCAAACATAAATTGTTATGTACCTTATTGTTTGTTTAATCGACAAAATTAAAATATTACTAATTCTTATTGCTGTTATTTACCCTTTTCTGGCGAAGTAATCGTTTCTTTATTTTTATTTGACACATTCGATAAAAAATATGTCAAATTACATAAAATATAAAAGGTGTATAAAAAACAAATAGTACAAACAACAACACTAATACATTTTACAAACATTTTTATAAATAACTAATAATTACTTAAGATAGTGTATAATTATTTTACATTCTAATCATTATAAACCTAACAGTTGCACACGAATAATCTGTTAATAATATCTTGATAAAAACTTGCACTTGTTTACAAATATACAGAGTTGTAGAGAATCTATAATTATCATTAAATTTATAAAACCTAGATACGAATCTTTGTTCAAACTATCGAAGAGATATCTAGATAGTTTCCTGGCGCGAATTCATATTATTTCAAAATATTTGTCATTTACATTAGACGTGTTATAATATATATGTATGGAATACAGTAAACAGAATAATTTCATAATTATTTTATAAAGTATGATGTAACGATTTCCAAATAATTTTTATTCATTCTATTTTAGTTACTATATCGTAAGTTTTTCTAACTTGATGTAGCATAAAGTTCGGGCAACGCCTGTCGAGACGAATTGTCATCAATGACCGTGGTGTTTCGTATTATCTGTTTCATCAGTTTGGAATGCAACTTTCCGTTGAAAGGAGAAGTCAGGTTAACTTTCAATCTTGTGGTTTAGAGATTTGCACCTTAACCAGCTGGATTTTGAAGAAACTTGGATGGTATTTGTCTATATCTAATTTGTAAGTATGTGAGATATATGTCTTATGCACAAGTATTCTGCAAAGAATGCGAAAATATGGAGTAAGATATTTTATAATTTTATAACAGTAACATGTCCCTTTAATTGTTAATGTAATAAGTATATTTGAAATTTCCTGCAACATCATTATATCTAGTATCAATAAATACAAAATATGCTACTAAATTATAATTTTGGATATTTTATGAATATTATTTATATCTACAAAAATAATAAACAGAAGCCTTAACAATAATTTTTTAAGTATTCGAATTTTCTATATGTTTAATTTAAATTTTATTGCATAATCTTTGTATTATTTAAATATTTGTATATTTACTGTAGTTCATAATATATATAATTATGAAGATATAGGTAGTTAGAAATGAAATTGAGAAAACACATACAAAGATTTTGTTAATAATGTTTGTAATTAATTCAATAAGTTATTTAATGATAAGGTATACTTTATTAAGTACATGAAGTGTAATACTTTCTGAAAATTAGGTAATTATTTAAAGATAAGCATAAAATAATTTAGGATTATTTCCTATTATATTTTTACAGCTGGTCCAAGATGTCAAATCCTGCTGAGCGTTTAAACTATGTTCAAGATAGTAGCAGTGATACTGAAACAGATAAAGAAACAGGTGGCAGGGGCAGGCATCGTATTTATAAGAATAGAATGAGGTACTACGTAAAAGATACAAATGAGTATCATGTTTGTCATAAAATAAAATAAAAGCCATAGGTATTTTAGATATTTTGATATTTATAGATATTTTTAATATTTTAGATATTTATAGATATGTTAGATATTTTATATTATTAGCTTAATTTCTTAGTTTGTTAAAACAAATACTTTAGATGAGCAATAGTATGAGAATTTCACTTGTAATCTATTGTATCCTTGAAACTTAACAGTTACATGTGGCATGTATCAAGGGATGTTATGCAGGATGTCATGCATGTCAGTTAATCTTCTTATCAAAATTTACAAGTTTATACTTTTTATAATTTTACACTAGATCAATCAATAAGCAGTGTATTAAAAAATAACATAATTCAATCCATATTTCACACTGATATATATCATAAAATTTAATTTATATTATGTAATTATATTTCGTTTTAAAATCATACCACATAGGCTTCCTGCAATCGTATTTGGTTTCATTCGTTTATTTATTTATTTTATATTAAAAAGAATAATATGTGTGTGTGTGTGTGTGAGAGCGCGCACGCGTGTTTGTATGTTGAGACAATAAAAAAGTTAAATAAACAACTAGAAGCCTCCATATTATATTACTTTGACAATAAAATTTGTATTTATATACACTTGTTCATCATTTAAATTATTTATTACATTAGACTCTGTAGATAATACACTATGCTTGTTGTCGAATGCAAACATTAGAAGGGTAATGTTGTTGTTTTGCATGTAGTTGTGGTGGCTCTTCCAAACCAAAATCTTGTTTGGTACAAAGAGATGGAAGCAATGAAAGGCACTGTCATACCTTCAATTCTGGCAGACAAAACACTAATGTTAATCAACAAAGCAGGTAATATTCACAAATGAATAGGAGACAGTAAACACAATAATGTTGTATCTTGTATTCAAAATATTTAATGATTTTAAGTTAATATCTGATAGTATTTATTAAACTATTTAATTATCGTATGTTTTGTGAGTTGTATTTTTATTTCTTATATTATTGATACAAAAGTCCAGGCATCGTTATACAACAGGTAGGTGTTACATATACGTCAATTTTGTTTCATACATTGTGTTGCGTTTATTCCTTCATTTGAAGATGAACTCTTATAGTCAGATGACTAAAGTACCGATCCTTGCTGGAACTCCATAGATGTCAAGGAATTAAATCAGACAGACTTTCTACCAGAGAATTCGGCTGATGATTGGGACCCACTGGGCCGCCACAATTGAGCATCAACGCTAACATACGAGAAATCCGGTAGCGGGAAACCGCGGGTACAAGAAACATCTAAGAGGATAGTTGATCCAGCTGAAATGACAGCTGGTGTGGTAAAAGCTTCTAAAGAAGTAATTGTCAATGAACCCATTTGGCAAGATAGCCCTTTTTCCAAAATCCACCCCGTGCGAAGGACTTATAGTCAGAATCCCGATTTCTTCACCTTTGCAGTACTGCGTGAAAGAGTGTATGCCAATCTGGAAACAGAAAATTTCCGAATCCCCAGCGTGAGATGACACTTGCTGCTTTTCAGCACGTAATGACTAATATCTTGAACGTTGTAATCATCGATCACGTTAGAACAATTAATGCGAAAGACCCCCATGCATAACATTCCAGAGTACGCAATTCCCAATCCAAGGATTGAAATAACTGAGAACGTATCTGAACAGCCAGCTGGTGGATTTGAAGTGTGTGGTGCAATAATCAACGGTTATGAATGCTACGTCTCCCCTCTTGTGACATCAAGATTAATAGAGGCGACAGTACAACAGAATGAAGATAGGCAGCTTGATTCATGGTACCCACTTCCGGACGGAATGTCTCCACCCCATAGTGTGCCTACTATGAACTTACTTGGCTATCGCCACCACGTGGAACGATTAACTAACGAAGGACTACAGATTTTGCAAAATGTCACATCCCCTGATGGTAGTGACATGCAGTCGCGATTACGGCAAAGTGGCAAACTCACTGCTCGCGTCTTCCGAACACTTCGTGGTATAGAGATAAAATACAAGATGATCATGTGAAAGCCAACGCGAGGAACAAATACCGCTAATACGGTTGGATGAAGGTTGACATGGTGCCATGTAGCAAAACCGGCAACGCCTTTCAACAGTTATTGGATCGGTACAGTCATCCGTCGCACTTGTTATTCAGTGGCAGTTTTTGTCTTGCGTCGTGAGAGAACAAGAACTGCTCGGGGGGTTTGCTAACTGACAGCGCAGGGTCTTGCGCTCCCTGGATAGGTCGATACTATAACAACTTCAATATGATTGAATAACGACATAGTTGCGAAGAAATTATTTAGTTAAGAAAAGCTAGCTGCCCCAAAAAAGAATGATTCTCTCTTAGATTTAGTCTAGAAACCCCTAGCATAGGAATGAATTTTGTTACCTTAGGAATTACCTAAGGTGCCCATTGGAAGTCCGTGGAAGGCCCTTTGTATTAAAGGTGCACCTCTCGCCGTCAGCGCTGCTGAGGGCTATGTTGGCGAGCGAGAGAGGTTGGAGGGCGGTCGCCTCCTTCTGCGAGCAAGTAATGCTACGTAAGGAGGCG